GTAGTCCGATAACATATGCGTTTATAAGTCGGATGACGTACCAAAATCTCGGTAAAAACATATTTAATTTTTATAATAGTGGAGATAGAGATAGAGATATGGTTTAGTTAAGATGAAAAAAACATCTTTAATTTTTATAATAGTAGAGATAGAGACAGAGATAGAGATATGGTTTAGTTAATGTGAAATTTATTATAAGAATTTGCTTGGATATATATATATATTTTTAGAAAATCGTGAGCTGCAGTTAGAAGTCCGATTATCTAAAGTTGGCATGCGAGTTTTTTTAAAGAGATTTCTTATACGAGTCCTTCTGTATTTCCAAAAACGAACGAACTTAAAATCAACTCAAATGCGGATATGCATTTCTAAAAGCGAAGAAAAAACCGACTCTTACACGGATAATTTACCAAAATACCAGCAAAAAATATCTTCAAATTTTATAATAGTAGAATATAGATACAGATAGAGATATGTGTAAGAATCGTAACCTGCAATGCTTTTGGATTCAATTGTTTTATCTTAACTGAGTAGCAAACAAATTAGTATATATATCCAGAACTGTCTAGTACTTGTATGTCAAATTATCAAGTGATCAGAATTTAATCGTGTTGTTATCGGACCGTAAATTAGGTCATTGTAAAATTAAAACGCGGTTGTACATGATTGAATTTTGCGTAGATTTTGAACTAAATTACCATGCACCTATCCGACGAGCTTGTCGAGTCCGTACTCCTGCGGCTCGATTCCACCGTCTCCCTCATCCGCGCCGCCTCCACTTGCAAGCCATGGCGCCGCATTGTCGCCGACGCCGGCTTCCTCCGCCGCTTCCGTGGCCTCCACGAGCCCACCGTCGCCGGCTACTACTTCGACTCTCGAGGGGAATCCCCCTTTGCGACGCTGACGATGGGACGGCAGGAGGCAGCGATCTGTTTCCGACCGTCGCCGTCGGCGGCGGCGCTGACCATTGACGCCGGCAGCTTCTCCCTCGCCTTCCTAAGGGACGACGACGTGCTGCCCTCCCAGTGGTCGTCGTCATGGAGCGTCGCGGACAGCCGCGGCAGCCTCGTCCTCCTGAGAAGCCTCGCCGCCGGACACGCCCCCTTCTGCTTCCCGGAGGTGGTCGTCTGCGAGCCATTGACGCGGCGCCACCGGAGGATCCTCCCGTCGCCGGACTTCGGCACCGGCTGCTTCTTCTACGGATGCTACCTCGCCGACGGCGAGGCGGCCGGGGACAGCAGCAGCAGCAGCAGCATCGGCATGTCGAACTTCAGGGTGGTTTACGAGCTCTACCGAGACGACGGCGGCGCCGGGCTCGCTCGCGCCGCCGTGTTCGCCGCCGGCGCCGCCGGCGCGCACTCGTGGAGGGAGACGTCCGTCGGCCACGCCATCCCGCCGTTCCACCGCATGAGCCTCATGGGCCGCGCCGGCGGCTCGTGGTACTTCCACGAAGGGAGCACGATGGCCGTCCTCGACGGCAGCACGGCGGAGTTCTCGTCGTCGCCGTTCACGCTGCAACAACAACCCATCCATCCCGGCGTGTACCTGTACATCGCCGAGGGCCGCGACGGCGAGCCGCGCATGTTCACCACGACGGGGGGCATCCTGACGGTGCTCATCAAGAGGGCGAGGAGGCCGGCCGTCGTCGCCGGCGGCGAAGACGACGTCGAGGAGTGGGCGGTGGAGAAGAGCGTCCGGCTATCGGAGGCGACCCGCGGGTTGCCGGGGTACGATGCGTCCTTCTTCGGCGGCGGCGGCGGGCCAATGGATGTCATCACGAGGGGCGTCGGGTTCGTCGTCCTGTCACCGAGGATTAGGACGACGAAGGAGGAGGCTGCTGCACCTGCGCGGTGGTGGTTCGCCGTCGACCTGGAGACGGCAGAGGTGGAGAGGGTGCACGACGACTTGGGGACGATACAGTTCCCGTGTCAGCTGCCATGGCCGCCCAATTTGCGTGCCTGCCCTGCTTAGATTTAGAATAGGTAGAAATAAATATGAGTAAATTTCAGAAAACAAATGTATCAGTTTGCTGCAACTTTAGCGATATGTTTCAGTTTGCTGTAACAATAGCACGGGAAATTATCACAAAACTGCAACTTTTACGTTATATGTTGCTATAGTTGTCACATATATGTGATATAACGTAAAAGTTGGAGTTTTGTGATAACTGTAGCAGCATATAACGTAAAAGTTGCAGTTTTGTGATAATTTTCCACCCTATTGTTGCAATAAACTAAAATGTGTTGCTAATGTTGCAGCAAACAGATAGTTTTGTCACTAAAGTTGTAGTTTTCTGAAATTTACTCTATAAATATATTCAAATTAAAATTCGACATATACCAATTTATGAAAGAATAAACATGCTCATATTCACAGCCATATTTGTTTTTTCTAAATTATATAGATAAAATTTAAACATGTTTGCGTAGTAATATATTATATATATCTTATCATTTTTTTTCATATATATGTTTGTGTAAAACTATTAACTTTTTGTACGTACATGTTCTTCATCTGGGAAATATTGCGTCATAATAATTATAACAATTCCATATTTTTTTTAAGAGTTGAAATTTTTCATAAATATCGTAACCCCAACTATACATGCCTTTCTTAGGTGAGATTTTTCAAACAAAAGAGGTACTAAACAATATGTATAAGAAAAAGGGAAAATATTAAGATTTCTTGTATTCTAGATACAAAGTATTTTCACTACAATTATCTTTAGATGAATACTATATGTTCGCAAGTTACACTAAAAAATATCATTATGGTTTCTATTGACCTATGTATGGCTAATCAGCAAGCACGCGTGCCAGGCGGCCCAGGCCTCCCAATTTTTTGTATATAGCTCTAAGTATGTTTGGCATCATTTAACATGCTTCATTGTTTCGTCATTAGTCAATTATAACCGTAGCGTGATAAAAAAAATAATCTATACATAAACTTTTTTATATATGTATTTCTAGCGATTTAAAGACCAATGCTTAAAAAAACTACCATAAAATAATTACAGTTATAGCTCTAAATTAATTTTAGTTCTAAAATTAAAATTTTATCCTTCGATAGTATTTATTTTTTAAAAAAGGTGTGGATGTGCCAATACTAATATATACCATATGTTTTTGCTGTTTAGTTGGGGAATATGGGTCTGTTTGCTTCACAACCTGAGAATCACGCTTGAGTCAGGCACGATTCTCAGGCGTCCGATTTTGGTGGCCTGTGGTTGGATGCACCTGCCTGAGTGAGAGCGCTCAGGTCAGGGCACCATCCAAACACGCCCTAAGTCTATTTGCCTTCTTGAACTTATGCCTAATTGAATTGCATTCCTCAACCTCAAAACCGTTGCAAATCGACTCCCCGGACGGTTTCGTTCTACGTGGCACTTATGTGGCAAGTTGACTTGGTCTTCATTCCATGTGGCATTAACGTGATGCTTACGTGGCACTAAATAAAAACCAAACCTAAATGGAACCCACATGTATGTGAGTAAAACAATAAAAACAAATTTTGGGCCTACGTGTCAGCTACCCTTTTTCCTCCCTCTTTACCCTTTATCTTTCTCCAATGGATGGCGGCGGCGGCGAGCAAGATGGAGCTCTACGAGCCCACCTGCCACGGCGCACACGCAGGGAGGGCTCGCCTGCCACGGCGCACACACGGGGAGGGGGATGGGGCTTGCAGCTCATGGACACGCAAGGGATGGTCTCGTCGGCCTCTGAATCCACCTCCTGGATCGCGGCGGCCTTGCAAATCCAGCAGCTTAGCGGCGGTCCTCTTTCTATTATCCCCCCAATCCCTATACTCTCCCTCCCTCGCCTTCTTCTCACCATAGCAAGGCGGCAATGGCGGCGGTGGCTAGCAACAACAGCCACTAGGGAGACGGCGATGAATGGAAAGCGTGGTGGCGACTCTTTGCTCGGATCTTCCTCCGGCTGGACTCATCCCTAAGCCTCACCCGCGTGGTGCCCGCGAGTAAGCAATGGCGCCACATGGCTCATCGACGGCGTCTCCGATGCTAAGTGGCCAAGAAGAAGGAGCTGGCGGAAGCGTCATTGCTTCCCTGACCCCATGGTGTGCCGAAGAGGGGAGTGTTCACCGCCAGTTGTCGTCGCTCCCCTTTGCTGTCGTGGCACCCGCGAGGAGAAGGAGCGGTACTACTACCGCTATTGGGTTGTATGATGCCCAGGGATGTCCACTGCATCATTGCTGCTTGGACCAACCCCGACATGGTTGGATCCCACCGCGCTGGGTCCGAGCCTTCCCTTGGTGGCATAAGAGACGAGGAAAGATCCGGTAGTGGCAGAGGCGAACTAGGAGGTCGTGCACTAGAGGGAATCGCCGGTGCTGAAGCTAACGTGGGTGCACGATGCCATAGCCCTGCTCCCTGTCCCGAGTTAGTGCTGGAGAGATAGCAACAGCAGTATAACACCCTCCCATCTCTAATGGCCTAGAGAGAGAGAGAGAGAGAGAGAGGAACGGAGGAGCCGCTGATGCCCTCCCAAGCTCTGGCTCGCCGCCGCCGCCCTCTCAGCAGACTGAGCTGCTGCTGGAAGCTCTAGGAGAGGAAGATGGAACGAAGGAAAGAGAGAAGAGATTGGTGAGAAAGAAGTGGTGTCTTAAATGTGGGCCCCACGTGCTGACTCAGCCGATTGTTCAGGTCAATGAGCCACGTCAGCGAAAACCACCGTCTAATACTGCTGAGAGAGAGTCATTTTGTGAGTTAGAGGATGGGTTATACCTATCCGGTTTTACGGTTGAGGGAGTAGACTTATTCCTTTAGTTGGACTCTTTCTCGGTTTCTCCTGGACTAGGCCTTTTCGGGCCTGGCCCAGTTACCCGGACCGACAACCTCTTCGGCCACCTGCTCCTCGCCCCCCCTTCACCCGACACCTGAGTAGACTACCCCCATGGACCGACCTCTCACGCATCAACCCACTTGTAAACCACCCCGTCCATGGACCGCGCCCACGGGAACCCAGCCGGGGACACACACCCAAACCCCAACCATTCACCGGAGATGAGAAGCGCCACAGGAAAACGAGCCGCGTCGCTTTCGCGAGAGAGGGACACCTGCTCTGCTTCCGCTTCCGCTTCCCCCTCTCGAGTCTCTCGCCTCTCCCCCGTGGCCAACCCACACACCGCGGGTTGGAGGAGGAGGAGGAGGAGGTAGGGGAAATCCCCGTCGGCCGTCGGCTCGGCGCCGAATCGATCCGGTGAGTGAGTGATTGAGTTCGTCTCTGCTCTCTCTCCTCCTTGTTCAATTATCAAGCTCTTGAATCGAGTCCTAGTAGTAGTGTGCTAGAGGTGCTGGATGATTTGGGTTTTTGGGGATTTTTTTTTTTTGGGGGGGGGGGTTGTTTGGGAACTGCTAGTGCGTTTGTGGTATACTGGTATGGGAGTTCGTTGCTAATGGACGGGGTATTTGGGAACTTTTAGGGTTTTGTTTGGATGGATTTTTGGTTGTGGTTTTTGTCAGGAATGGGTGTCGGCGACTTGGTTAGCTTTAGCTTTTGAGAATTTTTTTCGCCCCTGTTGTTCTGTTCATGGTTCATCTTTAGATTCAGAGGAGAATCCTTCTAGCGTTTTTCTGAGAATGAAACCTTTTTTTTTATGTTTTTATTTTTACGGGGCTATAATTTTTCCACTGCCTTTTGTGATTACTATTACATAATTACATGTCCCTTTGATGAATAATGGATGTTGGTTCTTTGGCTAAAAGTCAAATTGCGACTTGAAGTAGAAACGGGTGTACCTGGGATTAAGTTGCCATCGCTGGAACTAGAGTTAATTATTGGTTTGATCATTGTTGCTTCGCGTTGGATATACTATCGGTTTAGCAGTTAGCATGATACTAAATCATAGGAAGGCTACTATGATTGGAGAACCGTGGTGTTGTATAACTGATTAGATTCTTTCAAATATGATTTTCAGTTAGACCGCTCATTGGTTCAGGATCAGGGTCTTTTGCAGTTCTCCCAAATATTGCACTAATTTGTTTGCCAAATAATCATGCAAAACTTACATGAGTGGTGGCATTAACTCTTTTATTCAAATACATGGTTGTTCAATGATGGTATTAACTCTTCTATTCAACAGGCTGTAAAAAATTAAGTGAATAATCCTTGTCCCGCTACTTAAAATCTAGTCAAGACTCAGATTGGAAACCATTGGGGACTAGTAAAGTTTATGGGACTTGGACGTGTACATTACATGCACATGCCCATGATACATTAACAGGATGGATGTTCTATTCTGGAAGGTTAAATATAATAGTTCTTAGAAAGTTAGAGTTTTCAGACCGATGGTATGCTTGCATATATTTTTAGAAGTATCAAATATGATGAGAGTTCTTAAAAGAATTGGGTTTGTTAACTATGTTGAGTGCCTTCTACTATTTATTTTACAGGTTTTTATTGTTCATGGTGATATACTATATGCATGAATAAGTTACAGTTATGTAATATATATGGGCAAGGATGTATAAGAAGTTCATTTGTTTTCTAAATTTGTAGCTTAGGCTTCTTCTGCTGGGCTCTTCCATGAAGCAAATGAAGTTTATAATGCACATACTAATGTTCAGTATATTATACTGAGAATCAACTTTATTCTCAGCTGTATATACACTAGTATGCCAGCCATTGGTAGCTACTTGAAAGGATGGTGAAACGCATATGATTACCCATGATGAGCATGTGTGTTCCCTTTTTTTATTAGTGCTAAGCTGGAAATCAATAAATCCAAGATATTCATGGAGCATGCTACCTGTGATGATGTGCATGAGCATGCTATAAATGTATCACATGGAGAAACTGCATCAACATCAACCAGTCATCAAGATTTGCACAGTGATTCAGATGATTCACATCAGGATGATAGGCCTTCAACAAGCACACAAACCCCATCACCACAGTCTTCAGCATCAACTTCGCCCACTGCATATAACACCAGAAATTTATCCTTTCCTAGAAGAGATAGTATGTATGGTCATGGAAGAAGTATTTGGAATTCTGGTTTGTGGATCTCGTTTGAACTGGTCATATATGTAGTACAGATTGTAGCTGCTATTTTCGTCCTTGTCTTTTCAAGAGACGAACATCCGCATGCCCCTTTATTTGCATGGATAATTGGTTACACAATTGGCTGCATTGCAAGCATTCCTCTTATTTGTTGGCGCTGTGCCCATCGAAACAGACCTTCGGAACAAGAACCTGAACAACCACCCGCAGCCTATCCTAATTTGACTTCCTCTCAATCATCAGAAGGACGCAATCAGCGTAGCAGTGGTACTGTTTTGCATTTTGGATGTATCACAATTTCGTGTCCAAGGTAATTTGTAGTTCCATGTTATTTTTCTATCTTGAATTTCCTAAAGTCCTGTATGTGAACTCGTGTATGCAGTCTCACTCCTATGCATTTTTTGAAGAAACTGCTATCCATTTGCATCTTATAAACATATTTATGCTTTCCAATAACTGAAAGATGCAACAAATAAACTGATAGTTGAATTGATTGAAACTATCAACTCTAGGGCATCCTAATTAGTTTATTTTTGATATTCCATTGGATCACGCAGGTACCACAGTCCTATGTTCTTGAGTTGAGCCTTCTATTTGTGCGTAGTACCACGATATGGATTCTACAATATATTTTTACTGCAATTTGTTTTTTCTCAGTCATTCTGGAAGTGTAGAAGATATATATGCTCTTGTTTCTTTGACCTAGGAATTTGGAACAGTTGTGTTGACCTCTTCAAGGTGTAATATTACAATGTTCGCTGCAGATACCTCATTACATTGGAGGGGAGGATGTTCCCTTTCTATATTTGTTGTGCTTGACAAAAGCATTCAACATTGTGGAGCGTAATGTGTCCTATTTAACTGGAATTGGTCCTGTTGAAAATTGTACTAGTCTACTCTAAAGTATTAAAACTTTATAAGTAAATTTGAAGAAATGCGTGATGCGAGATCTTATAGTACTTAGTTTTGTGCTAAATTTGATATGGATGTATTAACTGAGGTGATTATACATTACAGGCCTAGCATATTGGCTTATCATTTCAAGACAGCTGTAGACTGTTTCTTTGCTGTATGGTTTGTTGTTGGCAATGTGTGGATTTTTGGTGGGCACAGCACTTTGTCAGATTCTCAGGAAGCTCCCAATATGTATAGGTATTTTCTTTCCTATCATTCATAGCTTTTCTGAACTCAATCAACTCATGCCTTACTTTGTTGCCTCTTGCTAGGCTATGCTTAGCATTCCTTGCACTTAGTTGTGTTGGGTATGCTATTCCCTTCGTCATGTGTGCAGCCATATGCTGCTGCTTTCCATGCTTAATTTCTCTTCTGCGCCTTCAAGAGGATTTGGGTCATACTAGAGGAGCTACTCAAGAACTAATTGATGCACTGCCAACCTACAAATTCAAGCCAAAACGAAGCAAAATGTGGGTTGACCATGCTTCAAGCTCAGAGAATCTTAGCGAGGGTGGCATCCTGGGCCCAGGAACTAAAAAGGAAAGGATTGTTTCAGCTGAAGATGCTGTGAGTATATTTCACATTTTCATATCATTTTCATGTCTGATGATACTTGATTTGCAATTAGTATTGAGGGGGTTTCCGTAAAACAAGTATTGATGGGATTCCTTGTATCGACCTTCATGTACCTTATAATTTAGTAATCATAACTCCATTCACAAGTGAATACTTAAGCAGCCTCTGTTATGCAGTAATATGTACTGTCTTAGCCTTATCTTATTTTGGAATATATTTAACAAAAGGTCTAGCTCGTGATGATGCTTTTACACATCTTTTTCAGATAACAATGAGACTTCCCTTTTTTCCTCAGTGAAACATATAGTGTTCTAGGTAAATATTCATTAACAAAAGTGTTTTAGGGAAATATTCTGCTTTATGAGAAATAGTTTTGTTTATATTATACTACAGTATCTTTTTTCTCGTGTATCTTCAAACAGTTGTAGTTACACTCGCTTTCATAAGTCCTTTTCTAAATTCCATTCATTTCCTTCAGTAACATGGGACCTCTTGGAATTTTCCAAGTTACCTGACTTACTGTCTGGATTATTATTTTTGTAGCTCATTCAATTTGCCATTACTAACTTGAAACCAGGGTTCTCGAAATAATGTTATAGTTGTTTTAGTTTGATTCATAAGTCATAACATATAACTTGTCAACATCTATTGATATCTGCAGGTGTGCTGCATCTGTCTTACTAAGTACGGAGATGATGATGAGCTCCGTGAGCTTCCTTGCACCCACTTCTTTCATGTGCAATGTGTCGATAAATGGCTCAAGATAAATGCAGTGTGCCCACTCTGCAAGACCGAGATTGGGGGTGTGGTTCGATCATTTTTTGGCTTGCCCTTTGGTCGCCGACGTGTTGATAGGATGGCAGGAAGAGGTATAGCTAGCTCGAGATTCACTGTATAGAACACGTCTTCTTCTCTAGCATGTTTGCTTGTTTCATCTGCTCATATGCACATAAAAGACGTGCTCATGGATTGTAGTTTGTTGATTTGCAATGAAAGCGATAATCTGCTTTCATCACCCTTGAGTTCACCAAAGTGATGACAGAAAAGTGGAGACCTGATGCTTGCAGTGACAAGTTTCTGCAGTACAGTAGAAACATAAGTATATTCTGATGTAACATTTGATGTCAAGATTGTAAATAAAGAGCACAAAGTTCACTTCGGGGGTGTATATCTGCATGTGTATGGGAAAGGAAAGCCTAATTAGTTAGTAACTTTGTGGGCATTTTATTGTGTGCAATCATTGATCTTGTTTTTCCCAGTATTGTGAAGTTCTCATTGTTTGCACAAGGTTTCAACAGATAAATAGATGATCTGTTGGAGCTGCCGTATTGCAGGGATGAAGATGGAACTATGACCCACTATTCACAGTATTTTGTTGCTTTGCAATTCCATACTGTCTTGTTTCAGTGGAAACCAATTGTTGCTAATATGATTGGCAAAAGTTCTCATCGGAACGTGCATTTTTGTTCATGTTGATGTAGAATAAAAAATCCTATGCAGCAATCACTTTTGACATGACATCAATCTGGGGCCTTCATTACAGGAGGTTTTGCTGGTTATCAGGCAAGCACATCATAGATCATAGTCACCATTATCCTGAGTTACTCCAGCACCACCTACAGCTTGAATCCTGTACTGACTCAAATCATTGTTCAATGCAGGTTCAGGGTTTCAGAAGTTGCTGGCATTCTGTGGATCATCAAATCCTAAAATAAGAAATACTACTCTAGTAGGTGAGGAAAACCTGCCCTATGCATGACTACATCTATTAATTAAGTTCCAAATTGTGTATTTGGGTCAACTACAGCAACAGGTCACCACACACCTATTCTGCCCAATGAGCTATGCAGCAATCACTTTGTGAATGTCAACATTCCCAAAGTTCCAAATCCTATTAAGATTGATTAGTGTAATCTGAGAATAATTCTGCAAAATCAATGATGGGACACATGAATCATGGATGGATGTCATGCCAGGAGAGGTGTACTTTGGGAATGTCAACATCCTCTTGCTGTTCCAACCTTGGAAAATGGCACATGTGAGATTGGGTGTATGCTAATAATGCTTATTAGGTCAAGCTAAAGACAAAATGTTTGTCCTGTCCAGGTGACCAGGTCCAAAGATACCTATGGCTGTATGGATCAACAGTGCTGATCTGGGTGTTTGTGGTTTGGTGACACCCAATTGGCTGGGCTACTTGCCTTTAACCTACAGCATCTTACTGTAGAGTTAGACGCCCGCTCTTCTTTGTTAATATGAAGATTAGAGGGCTACTTATTTTGGAAGAATGAATGCCACCGAGTTTGTGTCTTTTGGAGTTTTCGGTGTATAAAATCCAATTTCTATGAATTGGTATAAGAACTAAACTGAATTCCTCACATGTTTAAAACCTTAAATTACTCCCACCGACATGAGCTCTCCCACGATGGCCAAAGAGAAGTTAGGCATGCTTGTTAGCGTATTCGCAAGACAAGTCATCACAGGTAGTCGTCGAAAGCTGCATACGACTTTGTTGTTATGTTACGATATTGGACCCATAATGTCATTTTAGTTTTTGCTTCTACATATTTTTGGTTGAGTCCACCAACTTTGTTCTAATTAAACTGCCTAAATATCAGTGCTTTGCTACGGATAAAAATATTACAATATTACCTAAAATAGACAAAAAATATTTTCCATGAAATGTTTTACCAATCTTCAGAGAGTATTCAACTTAATTTGATATTATATGTGGCTATCCATTTAAATTTGATTGAGTTTTAATATTAAGAAGTTTCAGGAATTATTTGCAATTTACAAGGGAGTAGTGGGTGATAGATTCTCACTACCACCACCCTTACTTTGTACTAGTACAGAAAGTTTTCAAGTAGTAGACCCTAAAATCATATACTCCATTCTCTCTTATTTGAGATATAATAGGGCGCACCTGTATTGATATATCTTGACCTACCTATAGTGAAAAATATATCTTGGTCCATGGGTTTTTAACCTAGGCCCCGTACCATGGCCCATGATGCACCAACCTTTTGGAAAATTTCTATTGAGGCTATCTCTCTCTCATCCAATTTATACGGTCCAATCAAACAGTTATTTTCTGTATTTTGCAATACTCTATTTTACACTTGTATTCATGTCAGAATTATATTTTACACTTGTATTTATGTTAGAATCATGTGTTTTTTCTATTCCTCTATTTTTCCAATCCTACGATTCAAAGAAGCCATAAATACACAGAACTGGAAAATTGCATAGCACTTCCATCTAACTCTAATTCCAAGGCAAAGAAAGAGACGAATAGGAAGCCACCGTCCTAGCACAAAACTGAAAAGAAGTCTACTTAAAGTCATTATTATTAGGCATCTAAAGAAAAAAAAAACAACAAGCAAGCACCTCAGAGACGACGACGACTAGTAATACTAATCCCACAAGATGCCGAGGATTCCAGGAATCAATCAACCAAGCAAGCAACGAAGCCCAAGACAAAGGAGTGCAAGACCCACACCGACAAGCCAACCAGCCAAGCCAAGCACGCACGTCCGTCACCACCCCCGACGCCCGTCACTGTCGCGTGGGCCCCACTCCACCTGTCCACCGGCACGCGGCACCCCCGCTCCCCGGCTGCTCGCGGACCAGGCCGCACCTCCCGTTCAAATCTCTCCTCCTCTCCCTCTCCCCCCACTCCTCGCTCTCCTCCGCGACTCGAAGGTCGAAGCAGATCCACTCGCGCGCTCGCGAGGGTGCGTCGCGAGCGGGAGGTCAGAGAAGGGGGATCGGCCGATCGATCGATGGCGGGGGGCGAGGTGGTGGCGGTGGCGGCGGCGGCGGCGGGGACGAGCAGGACGGTGCTGGTGACGGGAGGGGCCGGGTACATCGGGAGCCACACCGTGCTGCAGCTGCTCGCCGCGGGGTTCCGCGTCGTCGTCGCCGACAGCCTCGGGAACTCCTCCGAGCTCGCCGTCCGCCGCGTCGCCGCGCTCGCCGGGGACAAGGCGCGGAACCTCTCCTTACACAAGGTTAATACTGTCCTGACTCCTGAGGCGATGCGCGCAGCGGGGGGTTGGTTGGTTGTTTGTTTCGCGGCTTTTGGCTGCTTGGGTTTGCGTGATTTTGCGCTTGTTTTTTTTTTTTGGGGGACCAGCACGATCGGCCGATGGGGGATTGGGGGCCCGTTCCAATGTTGGCAGATCTCTCCCGCTGACCTGAGGCCGAGTCATTTGGCCTTTTTTTGGTGATCATTTTGATTGTTTAGTGTGTGTAGCAAGGGTGGGTTACTCGTCATGGGGGGAAATTTTGGTGTTCTTTTCTTTTTTTTTTCTGTTATACTTGGCGTGAATTTGGCCGAGATCGCTAGTATTTATTTCAGGGTCAAACAAATGTGAAGTGATTTGGATTACAGCCGTATGAGTTGGTTTATCGCCAAGTGCGGGTATCTATGGTAATTGTATATTAGTGGAATATAACTGCCGTAAATTCTCATATTGTGCTGTACGATCATGAATTTCGGTCGTTTGCCTTGAGTATTGATTCGAAGATGATAATGGAGAAGAGATATTTCTTTTATCCAATAGAAAACCGGAAGAGATCTGATCTAAGCATAATGCCATGTGGCTGGACATGTATACCTGTCTGGTATCTCATTGTTTTAGGCTATCCAGTTTGTATATTTCGTTCTTGCCAGTTCAATGGGTTGGGTCATGGGTCGTCTATGTATTGAAACTTATATTGAATGATCTGAAAGATTTGGATATTTACTACTGAGCTGTAACTAGGTAAATTAGTGTGTCATTGTTTGTTAAGAATGGCAATTAGTATAATTTTGATTATTCAAGTTTGTACTCTGGGATGAATGGGAATTTTAATAACATATGTTTAATAGTGGAACTCACATTTGTGGGGCTAGTAGATGAGTCTACTTGCAACTGTCCAATTGGGAAGATCTGCAAGTTGTTGTGCCATTGCCTTCATTGTTTAACATAATTGTATGGCATAGGCATTGCAGTATCTATACAGTTGGTTCCAGTGACCTTATTTGGTGTTATTGTTATTGCTATGGACAAAACGAGTTTGCCAGGCTAGTGCGTTCAATGTTCTGAATTATTTTAGTACTGGCAGTTAAAAAAAAACAATTTCTTGCTCTTCCTATCGCACTTGCTAGAATAGGTGTGAGGTTTGGTGCCAGTTGTGTAGAATATCTCATTTGTCTTCAGATATGGTTATTTCAAAGGAATGGGTTAAATACTTTGATGTACATCTGGAAGTCAATGCTACATTATGTATTTAATCCACTACATAACCTTGATCCTACTGAAAATTTTTGAAAGTCCTTAAGGTACATTAAATTCAACACTATTAACTTCTCTTCTTCCGCAGGTTGATATTCGTGATAAGGGTGGACTGGAAAAGGTTTTTTCTTCGACAAGGTAAAACACGCTATAAAATAGTATTATCTTTTTATTCCTTTTTACTTCTTTTATACTTTTCAAAAGCAGCAATTTGTAACATCTCTGTAAAGTAAAAGTATCTAAATTCCTAAAATATGTCTTTTCTAGATTTGATGCTGTCGTTCATTTTGCTGGTCTGAAAGCTGTGGGTGAAAGTGTGCAGAAGCCATTGCTTTATTATGACCATAATGTTGCTGGGACAATAATTCTTCTAGAAGTTATGGCAGCCCATGGATGTAAAAAGGTAATTACCCCTCCCATATCTGTGGGCTAGCTTATACTCCATGAGGATGTCTTCTAAAGTAATTCCTTTTGATTCAATGCATCTATACAATTTTAAAATAAAATATTTGCTTCTCTGCTGTCCAATCCAATTCATGTTGTAGACTTCATGGGTTTCATTTACAGTCAACATCATTTTTTATTTAGTCATTGCTCCAACTTCTGTAAATTATAATAATGAACCGTGCACCTACTAGGTTACTTACTAGGAATGGTGATAGCATCCTTGTTTTTTTAATACCTGTAGCTGAAAATCATTCTGTTAATAATCATGCCAACTGTCAATGATTTGTTTTGAGGTTAAACCAGAGTATCCGTTGCTTTGCTTGTATCAGACTGATGCTGACATATATTTGTTTTCTCATGTGGTCAAATGTTTGTAGTTGGTGTTTTCATCGTCAGCTGCAGTTTATGGATCACCTAAAAACTCACCCTGCACAGAAGAGTTTCCTCTCACTCCACACAATCCATATGGCAGAACCAAGGTGTGCTTATGTCTTTC